ATTTTCTCATCATCTTTTGCAATAATAGAAAAATTGTAGTAATACTATTTTGCTGATGCTGATTTCAAGTCACTACTGAAGTTTTTGCTTGCATACAATAACTTGAATGGCTTGCTATGATGCAGGTTAGAATTTGTCGGGAGAAGTCAACCGGGAATATTTATGCCATGAAAAAGCTCAAGAAGTCGGAAATGCTTCGTAGGGGTCAGGTAGAATTAATTTAGCATGCCAAAGAAACGAACAATTATGGAGTTTGTTTTATTGTCCATTTGTGCTTATTCCTATCTTTCCCTTCTTTCTCTAGGTTGAGCATGTTAAAGCAGAAAGGAATCTACTGGCTGAAGTTGACAGCAACTGCATTGTCAAACTCTATTGTTCTTTCCAAGATGAGGAGTATCTTTATCTAATAATGGAATATCTCCCTGGTGGAGATATGATGACTTTGTTGATGCGTAAGGATACATTAACTGAAGACGAAGCCAGATTTTATGTTGGAGAAACTGTACTCGCTATTGAATCTATTCACAAACATAATTATGTTCATAGGTTGGTACTGATTCTACTGGTTTGCTGGGACTCTTCGAGACTTGCTATCATGGTAATCTTGTTTTTCTTATAATTTTTGCAGAGATATCAAGCCTGATAACTTGCTTCTTGATAGAAATGGGCACATGAAATTGTCAGATTTCGGATTATGTAAACCATTGGACTGCAGCAATATAAATGAAAAGGATTTTTCAGTAGGAAATAACTATAGTGGGGCTCTTCAAAGTGATGGGCGGCCTGCAAAACCAAAGCGCACTCAGCAGGAGCAACTGCAGCACTGGCAAAGGAACAGGAGGATGCTTGTAAGCTTCCTGCCTCCACTTGACTGTCATTCACGTTCCCAAAGTTCCAATCTGTCACCTGATAATCAGAAATGCCAATATTCTAATGTGTGAGAGAATGAGTAAACCAAACTAATTTACCAATAGATATAAAGATGCAAGTGTCTTCTTTTTCTCTCTGTTCATTTATCTTTATCAATTATTTATTTATTTTTTTTGTTTTTGATTCTAGCATCAGCAAGGGAACTTAATCAACTGGCTATAATATATTATATATTTTCTTAAGCATGCTTTATAGTGTTTTGAAATGTAATGCTTTCAAGATTTACACATAGAACAATGGAGCATTTATGTGGACGGGGCTAGATTCAAGTATCTTCTGGTCTGCTTTGTAGAATATTGAGTTCCTTGTGCACTCTCTTGTTCTCTAAACTTGGAACTGTAACTCTGATTTTCTATTCTGGGTAAATAGTTAGCTTACAAAATTATCAAGGATGTAAAATCACATCTTCTTTTTCTTTCTCGTGGAAGAGGGTTGTTTAGTGAAATGCCTGATTGTGATTATATTGGCTTTCTGTATTTCAATGATGTAGGCCTATTCGACTGTTGGTACACCTGATTATATTGCTCCAGAAGTTTTGCTGAAGAGAGGATATGGAATGGAATGNCCTATTCGACTGTTGGTACACCTGATTATATTGCTCCAGAAGTTTTGCTGAAGAGAGGATATGGAATGGAATGTGATTGGTATATATTTTCCGGATGCATTCTTCTTATAATTCATTTGGAAACAAATATATATTTATTTATGTGATGGTTACTGTCTGGACCATGTGTATATGCCACAGGTGGTCTCTCGGGGCTATCATGTATGAAATGCTTGTGGGATATCCACCTTTCTATTCAGAGGAACCTCTGTCTACGTGTAGAAAGGTAATAATGGCGTTCTCTCTTACTTGTGCAATTGTCTTGGGATGTAATTGCCTAGTAACTTCAAAGTGATGATAATAGAAAACTGGTATATCTTAACTTTCAATTTTATTTTGGTTTTGTATTCTTTACTTGCCATTAGGTAATAATCTTTAAAAATGTTATTATGTTTAAATTAAATAATATAATTTTCTAAGCATGCTAAATAATACTGTAATATAACAACTGATTTTTTCTTGGGCTTGACATAATAGCCTCCATTACGTTGTGATCCTCCTTTTCATGTAGATCTTGTATATGGTGTAACTTGAATTTTTCCTGGGCTTGACATAATAGCCTCCATTACGTTGTGATCCTCCTTTTCATGCATATCTTGTATATGGTGTAACTTGATTCTCAATCCAATTTCTGTCTTGATTTAGTAAGTTGCCTATTTGACGTAGGATACTATAGAACAATTGTATAAGAAGGGGAAAGGAAAGAGAAGAAGAGGGAGAGGGGAAGATAGAAATTAATATATTTCATATTCAAAGATTATCCTATTACAATGCAAAGCCCCTTTATATAGGGTTTCAAAAGATTCTATTTTGAGTAGTAAATATTTAACAAAAACTATTAAATCGAACATAATCCATAAAATTGAAAACTATGTAAAATAAAATCTCTTCTAATATTGAATCATTTCTCCCTGACTGAAAAAACTCACTCCAACGAGGTAGATTGAAACTTCATATTTTAAGAGGTCGATCTTTTGTCTTCACCAAATGCTTGTACTGGACCTTGGATAACATCATCTGACAGAATGTATACCAAGAACGATATTTCTTATTAACCAAATAAGAAAACTGAGTAACTGAGGACAATTGAAGCTGTAAATCATCCTCAATAATATAAACTGACTGAAGGGGACGATCTTTCATTTTAACCAAGCAGCGATAAGGAACTTCAAGAAGCAACACTACGTGCAATTCATCTACAGAAGTTACTACAGAACACCAAAAGAGAACAAAACACTAGCATTGTAGACTGGCTAGCAGAAACAAATGAGTGTAACACCGGTGGCTCGAATGTGCCCTGAGAAGTAAACAATTGTGCTATATGGAAAACAAAACGTTCACTTAAGTGCAATGGCCAGTCAATTAGTTTAAGTTCAAATGATCGATTCATTTTTCTTTATATATTTTGGAAATCGTGCTAAAGAAACACGCAACAAGGCATAAATAACATTATGAAAGTACACGTGCCTAAAAAGCACGTTAAATGCAAGCTCATAAATTCCATGATTGAAAAGAATTATGAGTTTTAAATTCGGCATGAAGACCAACAAAGTGTATAGCTTAGTAGGTAACAATTGATTATCAATAGGAAAAGTATGTGATCGAACAATGACCTTAGAACATGTGCCAACCAAGGAAGTATCACATTGTGTGAAAAAGGTTATATCAAAGGCAATGTTAGAGTCACACAAAAATTAGGCAAGATCAATTTAGATATGGAATCGAGGATAGGTAGACTGTTTGACTTAGGTGGCAACTCTTTGGATAATTCCTCAGCCTAGTTATTAGATTACTCAATTGGCTCAACAATAGAAACCTTGATTTCTTTTTCAAGAGCAACACAATTAGACTCAAGAGGTGACTATCGAGACTGGGATGATAGACCTAACTTATGACATGCTTGGCGAAGATGGAAGGATATGTTCCATAAGCTGGTCTATTGGTAAGTGTCATCTAAAGATTGGAATGTAGGAATATCATTAGGTAAGATTTTGAGGATTCAAACCATTGATAAACTTAGACACGACGATGTATGGAGCTTCATAAAAATCACAACTGTGTAGTGCTCTTTGAAATGATCTAGATATTCTCTAACAGTGGAGGAACCTTTTCTACAGTGTAAAAAGTATTGATCTAGCAATTGAATTTTATAGTACACGGGGGCATATTTATTACTTAATACTCATTGCATCTCATCCAACAAAGTGACATGGCGTTGACCTAAGTTATTAATTTTACGCAAAAATGATTTCCGATAATACCTAGCAGATCCGACCAGTGCCATATAAGCATGACAAAGGCAACGATTTTTGTTTTTTTTTTTCCTTCCAACTCTTTTCCTGGTGCTAGCTAAGAACAAATTACTAGAAAACTACTGCTAATGCCCTTTTTATTTTTGTTTGGCGTTTTGGTAAAAGGTTATAAGGCTTGGATGGTAGAAAGTTGCGGTGTATCGAAGTAGGTCGTTGTGGGCTGGAGATTGGATTTGTTGGCCAAAGGAAACAATTTGAGCTC